CATAAGATTTCGACGCTCCGTCGAATTAGAACCTATTGTAGCAACACTTCTATTGCCGCCGGTGTTTCGTGTGGTATTGCCAGATGAACTGCTGCCTGTGTCTACAGTTATTGATCCTGTTCCATTGGTCACATCTCGTCTCCTCCTTAGTTTTGCTGGTGCTGTACTTAGCAAAGACACCCCTACATGAGCATGTTTAAGAGCGCCTACATCATTGGTACCGTCCCCGCACATGAGCGTATAGTATCCGAGATGTTTCAAGGATGTTATAACATATTCTTTTTGTTTTGGCGCAAATCGCGCACAAACAGTGACGTGTTGTAAAATCTTTTGCATGTAAGGATTTTCGTTATCCTTGAGGTAATTCAACCCTTCGCCGGTTATACACAAATCATAGCTAGCTAGCATATCCTTTAGATCATGCTTAAGGCTATATGCCGCATCTGTATTAACTGAAAGCCAATGCCATTTAATATTTTTCTCGTTATCCATCTCGCCAGGAGTAAGGATGAGGAGTTTTTTACGTGTAAAGCGTAACTCTTTGGCTACATGACAGGCTGTTAATGGATTGTCGCCAGTTATCATTACAACTTTGTGGGATGCGTGTATCAACTCTTTGATTACACTTTTGGAATCAGGTTTTATAGGGCACGATATTATGACGAATCCCGCAAATATCAAGTTACATTCAACATCATCGCGCTTTAATTCGCGGACGCGTTGGGCATCCATTTGTCCGAATTCTTTTATGCCCAATGCTAAAACGCGTGCTCCGCGTCGAGAATATTCAAGGAATGTCTGAAAGTATTAATTTCCCGTAAGTAGAGGTGAAAATATTTAAGTAAAAGCTACTATATTAAGCAGGGATGACATGATTTGTACATTTTGATAGTTACAGAGTGGTGTTGTCTGGAAATTCTTTTATTGAGCTGAACTCAAATTTCTAAACACCACTAGGTGGCTGCAAAAAAATTACAAATCTGTACAAATGTACCAATCGTGCGATCTCTACTTTAGAAGGACGGCATTCCTTATCCAATTTATTGTGATAACTAATATGGTTACCTTTTCATAATCCTTCGGTACTTCTTTTAGCATATTCTGTATTACTTCAGGTGCGCCTTTTACTGTGCCTATATAAAAAATATCATTGCTGAATGGCACTAAATAGCCCGCTAAAACCGACATCCTTTTTAGGGCCGAGGAGAAATAGTAACGATGAAATATACGTAAAGGTTTTAGTTTTCCGCGTTTTGGAATAACGCTATCCTGCTTGGTAAGGCTCCAATCAACTGCTGTAAGTGTAGCCTTTTCAAGCGGATCGCCAACAAGTCCGTCATCAAGCATTACCAGGGAATGACAAGTTGCCAGTACTTGTATTGTATGGTCTACCGCCCTATCCATTGGCACAATAGCATTAATATCATCAGACATACCAACAATACCTTCAACCATCAAATTATCCGATGTAAGAGTTCCGGTCTTGTCGAAACAGCAGATTTGAACTTTACCAGCGAACGGAATGCGAAAAGGCTCAGTACAGAATACAAAAAGTTTCGATAGTTGCATAAGTGAAGTGTTAACTGCCAATGTTAATTCAATTGGAAGGTCTGGGGGTATTATTGACGTCAATATAAGCGTACATTCTAAGAAAAGCTTGTAGCGACTCCGCTCTGGATCTTCGGTTCCCTTAATCCAAACATAAGATGCAGCGGCAATAGCAAAAACCATTAAAAAGAGTATGAAGGCAAATGTTTCTAAATTGTTTTCAGTTACACGGTTAACACCGAATAGAATTGTTCTCAACAATTTTCCCTGGGATGTATTGAAACCATTGCGCAGCACATATCCTATACAACCACCGTCCGGTGCTCGTATAGCATCTTTTGTGGGAGCAGTATGTTGCACCACTTTAGTCCCACCAAAGAGAACAAACAGCTTACTATCGCCTTCCATATCTAGTTCTACATCTAGATTATCTAGTGTCTCTAAGGACTCTTTCATTTGCGGCACCGATTCCCCTGAAAACAATACGTTATCTTTTAGTCAGATGCTTGGGCGGACAACAGCAACGGATCTGATATCAATTTCCATACATACCTGTCAGCATGCTCTCATCAACTATGCAACTACCACGTAATAACACTATGTCACAGGGCACCAAATTGTCGTTTTGTGATCTTGTTATGGACACAATATCTCCAGGTACAAGCTGATCGGAGATTATCTGTCGCCATTTATTTTGTCTCAGCACGCTAATGGAATAAGGTTTGTTGCCCATTTTTCTAATTTCAGCCATGTTATGAAGTTGCTGACCAACAAGAGTGCATTCGAAAATAACCATCATGACCAGTGTGAATAGGGAATAGTACCAATACTCATCGAGACACCACAAAGCAACCGAAAATATTTGAAATACAAAGAAAGGTGCTGTGGCTCGTTCGATAAAGAGTTCATAGAATTCTGGAACGACCATTTTCATTTCATTCAATCCATAGGTTTGTTCTGCTATCTTGACTGCTGCTTCTGTTTCGTGACCTCGACTGCGAGAGTAATGACTTAGGATTTCGTGCACAGGAAATGCTATTCCATGGAATGTACACTTTTCTTCGTCCCAAACATATTTTGTTTTTTGGAAAACAAAATAGAGTTGTTGCTCGCCGTTGGCCAATTTGCTACAATGTATGTGCACCAGCTGAGAAGAACCATTGTTTGGTGTTGGCACTACCTTGGCTAAAACACCTTCTGCGGGAATTTTGACTTTACGACAATTCAGAAACGCGAGCACATGCACACTCCAATAGCAACAAAGTAATGAAAGAATTTGGGCAAACGCTATTACAGCTACCGAGATTAGGCCGGCTTCGTAGTGCACATCAATACCGTAGACAAATATCCAGGCATAAAAAGCGGTCAAATACATTAAAACAAATGGCATAACTATACCGCTAAGTACTATTGGGTTCCGGATGTGTAAAGTCACATATTGCACCAAATCATCAAGAGCCGGTTTTTTTTTCTTTTCATGTTTGCCTTTACTATATGATGGAGCTATCGAATTCAAATCTGGCTTGCTTTCGTCCACGTATTCGCGAATCATCCTTGGATGTTCTTTGTTCAAGACAATGTTTTAAAAGCTTGCTGTAGTAATTTCTAATTCCTTAACATTTATTTATAAAAGCAGAGTTTTTTTCAACGTATGAACGTCATAATTTCGAAAGTCACCCACAGAAAAATTAATAATTTTCGTCACTTGTGTTTTCTGTTGCGAATTCGCCTTATTTGCCTGCATGTCAAACTTAATGGAACTGCCCAAGGCGAATTTATACAGCACTGACGTGTCTTGATGTTACTGCACGTGTCTACAGTATAAATTTTGTGTATCAAGCATATGTTGGAATATAAATTGCCAATAGTAACCGCTCATTGCTCTTTAAGAGCAATATATGTCAGAGCTAATATATTGCCTTCTATTGCCGCCATTTTGGTAGTTTGACAGCTGCATTTTCACTTGCACGAAAACTTCCTGGTATCAGCTATTGATTTTTTAATAGAAAGAAAAAACCGGGCCGTTAAATATTATAGGATTTCCCGGATAACAAAATCCCCGGGAGTATTCAGAATTGGGCTGTAAATGTATGACCTGGTAATAAATATTGGAAGTTAATCAACTATATCTACTTAAGTCATCTGAAATTGTGCCCAAGTGTATTATATTGAAACTTGAAAGGAAGTTCTTGGTTGTGTAACGTAGGGGTTAGAACTGCCGCGGCGAATAGCTCAGCTGTTAAAGGCCCTACACACGCATTGATTTATCGGGCAACCAGTTGACCAACCTACTTAACGAAATTCCCTACAAACGCACCAACCAGTTGGCCGATTTCATTTGAGTGACAGTTTTTTAACCGTGAACAACACAACAGCACTGGTAAACTTTTAAGCTATGCTAATGCAGCGTTTTTGCTGCATTTAAAATGCAACATTAAGCGCTTTCGAACATATGTTTTCAAAGGGCGTTCATGCTATCGCATTTAGCAAATGTACATTTACGCGAGTTTGAAATCGTATGCTTTTGACAAACAGCCGTGTTCCAGTAGCTTATTCAGATCCTCATCTATTGCGATCAATTCTCACGCAGAAGATAATGTGCAAAAAACCCCACTGAAAAGGAAAAAATAAATTGTAAACCAAAAATTCAATACAAAAACTTGAATTGTTTTAACCATAACCGAACATATGTTTGTGAATATATTCATTTGTCGGTGCTGTCAGTTAAAATTTCCTCACTTAATTAGGAAACAAAACAAACAGAGTTCATCACAAATTGATTCAGATTTCTATCAGCATCACATCGATGCTGAATTGAGTAACTTTTCTTTATCCAAATAATGTAAAATAATAAATGAAATCTCGATCGGCGATCACTGAAACGCAGCTAGACCCTGTATACGCGAAAAAGCAATGCTGCCACTTTTTTCCATTAAACCATGTTCGAATCGTGGAAATTTTGGAAGATCACGGGATTGCTTTTAGCATTTAGGGCCGGTTACTCAATGTCCGGTTAACACTAATCTGCGGTTAAACATCGTTATCGACGTCTTCGACTCCATGTATACAACATGAAAACGGGAGCAGTGTCAATAACAAATACCAAAAAACGTAGATCTAAAAGAAGAGCCAACACGTTATAATTGTAACGAATGGGAACATCAGGAGCGTGCTTTCTCTTTCGCCCAAATACATTTTGTGATTGGATGAAAAGAGAAGGCACGCTCCTGATGTTCACACTCGCTACAATTATGACGTGTTGTCTCGTCTTATAGATTTACGTTCTTTGCAAATACACAAAGATGAGAAGCATTCTTAGCATAGCTTAAAAGTTTACCAATGCTCTTGACTTGTTCACAGATCAAAACCTGTCACTGAAATGAAAATGGCCAACTGGTTGGTGAAGTGGTTAGCCGATAAATCAGTGCGTGTGTAGGGCCTTTAACGGCAACACCACCGTGTGTGAATGCGCCTTGGTTTTAATTATCTATTGGCAACCTGTATTGCAATTATAGATCCGGAAACATGGTGGAATATCCATGTCCGCAAAGAACTGTCATATTCCAAGATGGGTTTTCAACAAAGATGTTAAGCACGTGCCTCTGGATAGTAGTCTAAAAGGTATTCGCCTTGATAGTTTTAAAGTGTTAAGGATTTAAATGATTGGTTGACTTCCAAACCATCAATTGCATTGCTAACGTACGGAGTATAGTGTTCCATATGCCGAAATACAAAATGCTGGTGTGCATATTGTTACGAAACGCACCTGAAACTTGTATCAAAGCGCGTTACTGGAGCAATAAGCGCGTAGTAAAATGTAGCTAATAGAACGTAAGTGATTTTTTTATAGTTGTATTTTCATCATATTCATATAGGCGTTTTTGTATCATTGGCGTTAATATATGTACAGTATATATGTAAGCAATAACCGTCTAGGTGGAAAAACCCGAACCCGATAAAAAACAATTAAGGTTTCGAATGAAATTCTAAGAGCTTGTCAGACGTGGGTCTGCAACATGAACGAAAGACACAAGATCACGCGGGAAGGAAAAAACGAAAAAAGTTATTTTCTAGCTGCCGAAATCTCGATGCCATCTTTGTTGTAAGAATTCTTACTTTACTTAAGTAAACAACGAAGAGAACGGAGAAAACCGCGAAATTGTTGAACGTATGAAAAATCATTTTTATTATGCAAATTCTTCTATAAATCATGCCGTTGTGTTAAATTATTCTTTATCTTATGTGTACACACGTTGTCACAAGTGGAAATGAAGAAAATTGCAGTAAAAAGCCACCACCAAATTGTAAACAACGAAGAAATGTAAACAAACTCAACTTTTCAACTTTTTCCTAAATGCGATTCTAACGGGCTAGTCTCCAGCCCGCGTGATCTTGTCTTTTTGGTTCATGGGTCTGCAATATATTTCGAAAAGGCTGTCAAATTGAGAAATTTCAGAACGCAGTTGGGGTCGGCTTTACAAAACAGAACCATTCGAGATTTCAGCGAAAGAATAAGGAATTTCGTTATTAAACTTTTGAGGATGTTGAGGGAGGCCTCCTTTAACTAAATTGATCACTCTCACAATTTAGTTACTAAAAGTATTTGTATATTTGCAATGTTCACGTGCATATGTAGTACTTTTAATATGTATCTATTGATCAATTATTTATGTAAAACGCGTTTATAAATGTGTTTAGAAGATTTAGCACTTTTCACAAACAGCAATAACAATGGCCCACAGTAAGAGCAAATGTGTGCTGTCGTACGTTTTAAAAGTAAATACGCCACAATTAAGGGTTTTTATTAAAGTGCGGTCAAGACAAAAAGGAGTTATGAGCAAAATTGTAATATTTATATCGATATGCTTATATCGAAAATTTTTAACGAAAAATCGAGCGTTTTTTTCTTAAAATTTTCGCCTGCCGCGCTTTTTATAACAAAAATCGATACATCGATAAATAATGAAAATTTTTAATAAAAAATAGCGCGATTTTTCATAAAAAATCTATACCTTGAATGAACAACGAAAAATTTGTAATAAAAAATCACGACCAAATATTTTTTTTTCAACTTTTCCCGGCAGTTGCATAACGTCACCTGGGTAAAAGATTGTCGTATGTTACTTTCGGCAGGTTTTGGGAAAGCGATGTTAAAGATTCAGTAACAATTTCTCAAAAGCTGTACAATCGTTTCTTACCAAAATTAAATGTTTGATTGTACATACTATTTCAAGTATAAACCCACATTTTCTTAAATTTTCAATAACTCGTATAGCTTTTACAGCCACTTGATGATAAAATCAATTTGTCGTGTATTACTCGTACGCAAAAAATTGATTCTAATACACCTGAGATATAAATTAATGAATAAAAATCAACAAAAACTTACACAATTTGTCGATAAAAGTTGCCGTAGCACATACGACTATCCATTGTGTAGGATTGGTGTGATTTTGTCGTATATACCATACAATTTGTCACATAAGACAATAACAAGTAATCAATTTCATCAAACTGTATGAAAATTTTTTTCGTATGTGAAATTTTTCGTCACATACAACAAAATGTTGACCGAGTCGCTAGCGAACTTGCAAATACGACAAAATTTTACTCGTATCTCGGAAACTAAAGCATATATCCAAAAACTGATAACACCATTCGAAATATACTATTTAAAAATATAAAACTGCATCATTAAATAAAAATCGTCAAAATGGGGCTTTCGATAAATTTTTACCCAGGCGACGATGAGCAGTCACACCTTGCATATAAAGTGTCTTTCAAAAGGGTTTTTTTTATTTCCGAAAGGCGAATTGCAGATTGCTAGTGCAGCACGAGCAATTTGAAATATATTTGCGAAATCGATTTGCGCTTTCTCAATTGCAGTCACATTTGGCAACTTTTATTTCTGAAACTGGCGCTTTGCTGGCAAAGTTATAANCATGATAAAAACATAACAAGGTAAAACCATTGAGAGGCAGTCTGACGTTTGCCAACAATATAATTTTAAAATCAAAACTCAAACTCACACACACAATCTCATTTTCAATCTCAAACAACAACAATTGTGAACAATTTAATTTTTTTATTTTCAATTTTATATGATTTTAAAATGTTGGCAAACGTCAGAACAAAATCATGGCCGACGAATTGAGAGAATGAATTTACCTTGTAATGTTTTTATCATGACTGCTACTCAATCGCTTCTTTTGTATGGAAGAAGGTTTATAGGAATTTTTATAAGAAATTCAAAGTATTTGACATTTTCGAGACCAAATAATTTGAAAAAATTAACATTAGCCGCTCTACTGATACTACCTGGTTTTGTAAACTGTAGAAATTGTTTGCAATTCCAAACTTTAATACTCAATTTTTTTTTATTACAGCTTGATACAGATGGTAACTACTAATGACTAGCTACCAATCCTTGATCTGGAATTATATACAAGAAAATATGTACATAATAAAAAGATGTTTCGAAAAAGTAAGGTAATATTTATGTATGCATTTGTTTATGTATGTATGTATGTGGAGTGCCTAATTAAAAGAGGATTTTTCCTCGATAAATCATTTAAAGAAACAGACGAAAATGAACGAACCCTAAATATACTTTAAACATCATGATTTGTCGCAGTAAACAAGGTGGCCTCATATCAAGCCAAAACGAAAAATATTTTCTTAAGAGGTAAGCCTCTGCTGCTAGCGCTGCACTTCATCGGTTGTATAATAATTGTTATTATTATATTAGCTTTCTTAAAAAAAAAAAAT